TCAGGAATCGAATTTGTATGACTGCAACAAAAATCGATTTAAATATCAGACTACCATTATAACCAATCGCGCATAAACATTAAACAGAAAAACACTAAAACAAATATAAAAAAAAATCTATTTACCAGGACGAAAGACGTGATGATCGTCTGCCAGATCTCCGTAACTGCTTTGAAATCGGCTTGCAAAAACAGCGTTCTAAACATCACAAATACAGACTCCACTATTTAACAGCAAAATTTTACAAAGTTTTACCCTCCTTCCATCCATAAAGCAAGACATGGACCGCGTTCGGTGCACAAAGCACACTGGTCCTTCTTGCTCGAATGAACCTCTGAACAATCTTTTATGTCCAAGCAAGAAAAACTCAAAATTTAAACACCAGTAAATACTTATGTTGATTATCTTCCGCATATCCACTTCGTGACAACAGGCTTCGTGATTGAGACTATACAAAAGTTTAGTGTCGCTAATGATCAAGGTGCACTGTAACCAAATCTAAACGTACGAAACCATTTAACCATACGAAACCAGTGTAACTGAAAACGAACATGCGCATACACGTACATAGTTAAAAGGCTTCGAGACTCTTAAAATTTAACCGTTGGATGTCGCTAATCTAGTGCTTTCATGATGAGGTGCTGATTTCGATTCCCATGCCACCAGTCAGCAGTGCCCAATTTTAAAAGCAGAGTCGAGCGTAGCTGTGTGCCAAGAATAGTGTGTAGTTTCCCGCTTCTTTCCCACAGAGTAGCACCCATTTATCCAACCGGAAATTCCCGGATCCGAACGAGCAATACCGATCTAGTGACGCAGAAGTGACTGATGCTCCATTAACGTAGAAAAGCTGGTAACTCGATCTCAGTAGAAAAATTGTTCTAACGATGCAAAACAACGACTACACGTGCGGTACAGTAAGAAAGGACGGGTGGCGATAGGCTCTCAAAAGCTTGTAGCCAAAGGAACTTAGCATACACCTGAACCTTAACCATGCGACAGCTATCGGTCGATCGTTGCCAGTGTCCGAGTCGCATCCTCATTTGCAAGATTCGCTATTTTGTAACATCACTATAGTTGTGATTTCTCTGGAGTTGAAAAACACGTCTGGTCATAGGTCAGTTACCAGCAATAAAAATAACCGACTGAGTATGAGTTTACTGCAGCAGTTTTATCCCTTATTCTGCATACGCAATGAATTTACTGGAAAAAACAGGACATAGTCAGCCGATGCAGTTGCCACAGCATTCATGATTTTAATTTTCTTGGGTTCCGCCTGTAGTAATCAAGTGTTGCAATAAACAAACCGTGCCTAAAGTGACAGCTTGACTCTAGATATTGGTGATTTGAGCACAATTGCAATACATACCAGAGAACAACAATCTTTCATTTTTGAATGAACGGTTTCGTTACGGGTAAACAACAGCATCCTCAGGATTACGCAAATGAGTGACAAAAAGCACAGTGTTATACTTCACATGATCGGGGGAGTCTAATACTGAAAACAAGCACTTACGATGCTGACAATAATCATTCGAACCTGCTTGACGAGAATCTTAGCTGTCCTTTAAATGTTTTTGATTATCGGATAAGATTATTAATTACATACCAGTTTTGAATAAAACTGAACGACGTAAAACAATCATTACACATCTACTTTGCACACATTTTAACAAATATTCAATTTACAACCTTCGTTTACGGCTGTCGCTAATAACTACGGAAACATGAGAAAGTTTTAACAGTAGTTCAGTCGATTAAAGGCCGAGATTTATGCCTGAACTCACTCGCGCCCTGCCTTTATGAGGTAAACAAGTGAGTACCGTGATATATACAGCAGATTATATCATGCTTCTGTCACAAAACTGCAGAACAATACCTTTACAAATATACTATTATTATCAATTGTGATTTCGAAACGGAAATCAGTCATACATCAGTACTGACCGTACAAAAGAAGGAGATCAAATGGAAGTATTACATGATAACGATGATTAGCAACAACCAAGCTTTCAGTATAGCAACCCTGGATATACACAT